CCCAATCCTGTCTTTCGTCTAGGTCCCTCTGTATCCTATCTCTACACTCCAGCGTATCGACCACTCCTCCCAGTTTAGTGTCATCTGCAAACTTGCTGAGGGTGCAATCCACGCCATCCTCCAGATTGTTAATGAAGATATTGACCAAAACCGGCCCTAGGACCGACCCTTGGGGACTCCACTTGATACCGGCTGCCAACTAGACATGGAGCCAACTTTCTATCCACCTTATAGTCCATTCATCCAGCCCAAACTACTTTAACTCGCTGGCAAAAATATTGTGGGAGACGGTATCGAAAGCTTTGCTAAAGTTAAGAAATAACATGTCCACTGCTTTCCCGTCATCCACAGAGCCAGTTATCTCATCATAGAAGGCAATTAGCTTGGCCAGGCATGACTTGCCCTTGGTGAATCCATGCTGACTGTTCCTGATCACTTTCCTCTCCTCTAAGTGCTTCAGAATTGATTCCTTGAGGACCTGCTCCATGATTTTTCCAGGGACTGAGGTGAGACTGACTGGCCTGTAGTTTTCCAGATCCTCCTCCTTCCCTTTTTTAAAGATGGGCACTACATTAGCATTTTTCCAGTCATTCGGGACCTCCCTCGATCACCATGAGTTTTCAAAGATAATGGCCAATGGCTCTGCAATCACATCAGCCAACTCCTTTAGCACTCTCGGATACAGCGCATCCGGCCCCTTGGACTTGTGCTCGTCCAGCTTTTCTAAATAGTCCTGAACCACTTCTTTCTCCACAGAGGGCTCGTCACCTCCTCCACATGCTGTGCTGCCCAGTGCAGTAGTCTGGGAGCTGACCTTGTTCGTGAAGACAGAGGCAAAAAAAGCATTGTGTACGTTAGCTTTTTCCACACCCTCTGTCACTAGTTGCCTCCCCCATTCAGTAAGGGGCCCACACTTTCCTTGACCACCTTCTTGTTGCTAACATACCTGAAGAAACCCTTCTTGTTACGCTTAACATCCCTTGCTAGCTGCAACTCCAGGTGTGATTTGGCCTTCCTGATTTTGCTCCTGCATGCCTGAGCAATATTTTTGTATTCATCCCTGGTCATTTGTCCAATCTTGCACTTCTTGTAAGCCTTTTTGTTTTTAAAATCAGCAAGAATTTCACTGTTAAGCCAAAGTGGTCACCTGCCATGTTTACTATTCTTTCTACACATCGGGATGGTTTGTTAATCCTCAATAAGGATTCTTTAAAATACAGCCAGCTCTCCTGGATTCCTTTCCCCTTCATGTTATTCTCCCAGGGGATTCTGCCCATCAGTCCCCTGAGGGAGTCATAGTCTGCTTTTCTGAAGTCCAGGGTCCGTATTCTGCTGCTCTCCTTTCTTCCTTACATCAGGATCCTGAACTCGACGATCTCATGGTCACTGCCTCCCAGGTTCCCATCCACTTTTGCTTCCCCTACTAATTCATCCCTGTTTGTGAGCAACAGGTCAAGAAGAGCTCTGCCCCTAGTTGGTTCCTCCAGCACTTGCACCAGGAAATTGTCCCCTACACTTTCCAAAAACTTCCTGGATTGTCCGTGCTCTGCTGTATTGCTCTCCCAGCAGATATCGGGGTGATTGATGTCCCCCATGAGGACCAGGGCCTGTGATCTAGTAACTTCTGTTAGTTGCCGGAAGAAAGCCTCGTCCCCCTGATCCGGTGGTCTGTAGCAGACTCCCACCACGACATCAGCCTTGTTGCTTACACTTCTAAACTTAATCCAGAGACTCTCAGGTTTTTCTGCAGTTTTATACTGGAGCTCTGAGCAGTCATACTTCTCTCTTACATACAATGCAACTCCCCCACCTTTTCTGCCCTGCCTGTCCTTCCTGAACAGTTTATATCCATCCATGACAGTACTCCAGTCATGTGAGTTATCCCACCAAGTCTCTGTTATTCCAATCACATCATAATTCCTTGACTGTGCCAGGACTTCCAGTTCTCCCTGCTAGTTTCCCAGGCTTCTTGCATTTGTGAATATAGGCACTGAAGATAACTCACGGATCATCCTGCTTTCTCAGTATGAGACAGGAGTCCTCCCCTCTTGCGCTGTCCTGTTCATGCTTCCTCCTGGTATCCCACTTACCTCAAGGCTTTGGTCTCCTTCCCCCAGTGAACCTAGTTTAAAGCCCTCCTCACTAGGTTAGCCAGCCTGCTTGCAAAGATGCTCTTCCTTCTCTTGGTTAGGTGGAGCCCGTCTATGCCTAGCAATCCTTCTTCTTGAAATACCATCCCATGGTCAAAGAATCCAAAGCCGCCTCTCTGATACCACCTGTGTAGCCATTTGTTGACTTCCACGATTCGACAGTCTCTACCCGGGCCTTTTCCTTCCACGGGGAGGATGGACGAGAACACCACTTGCGCTTCGAACTCCTTTATCCTTCTTCCCAGAACCACGTATTCTTCAGTGATCCGCTCAAGGTCATTCTTGGAAGTATCATTGGCTCCCACATGGAGAAGCATGAAGGGGTAGCGATCCGAGGGCTTGATGGGTCTCGGCAGTCTCTCCATCACATCGTGAATCCTAGCTCCTGGCAAGCAGCCCACATCTCGGCTTTCCTGGTCAGGACAGCAGATAGATGACTCAGTCCCCCTTCGGAGGGAGTCCCCGACCACCATCACCCGCCTCCTTCTCTTGGGAGCGGTAGTCGTGGAATCCCCCATCCCTAGGACAGTGCATCTCATGCCTTCCAATCAGTGGAGTCTCCTTCTGCTCCCTTCCCTCAGATGTATCATCCTAGTCCACTCTCTGCAGTAGTACCTGTGGAGAGAACATGAAAACGGTTGCTCACCTGTATCTGCATTGCTGGTACATGGATGCTCCTCTTTCTTCTTCTGGAGGTTACATGTTGCCAATTTTCTTCACCATCCTTATGTCCCAGCTGCGCAGCCTGCTCTGAGTCTTCAGAATGTTGTGCCAGTAGAAGCATATCCTGACGTCTGTCCAGGAAATCTTCATTTTCTCTTATGCAATGCAGATGTGGTTCTCAACTCCTATTTCAAGTGTGAAGGCTAATACTGTCAGGTTGAGGGACTGGCTCAGCCTAGATAATAGATAATACGCTTCAGATGTAACCGATACACAAGATTTCTAGGAATTTTGCAGTTTCTGAATTATTCTGTTATCAAGATTATTTGGGAGAAAGAAAAGCTTTCACACCTGGTGCTAAAATTCTTAAAGGACCTATATTAAAGTTATTGTAATTTATAAACCGATTTACTGTAACTTTTCACAAAATTCTCTATTCTCATTCTTTATTCAAAGAGTAAGATTTGGGACAGATACACTGTGTTCTTTATAAATAGCAAAGCGGTTGAAGCCTTGTGTTAAGGGCAAAACGTAGCCTTCACTATGTAACTGCGACCAGTAATTCCATGGTATAGCCTAAGAAAGGGTGACTGGAACAGCCTGTAAGGGGCCTGGCTCATACTCTCCCCTGTTACTGCCACCCTAGAAGGTCAAAAGACTTGAGCTATGGAAGTTCTGTTGGATGTAGGAGTGAGAGATCTACTAAATGAAGTCTTCAAAGAAGCAGAAATACAGGCAATAATTTTCCCTCTTTCTCCTTCTGATCCTTTCTTTCTCACCCACCTGTTCCTGTCTTCATTCCGATTTCTGCCAAAGCTAGTTATGTTCAATCTCATGCCGCCCTGCCACCACTGTAATTATTTATCCCAACCCAGGTAATTTAAATGAGGATTTAAATCTTTGCACAGCTTTTTGGGATTGTCAAAATGTTTCAGCTAACCTCTGAGTATGTGTTGTTGCACAATCGTCCTCAGCCATGTGCTTTTATTAGTGTGTGATCAATTGTGTTACTGATATAATTTCGTTGAATGATCTCTTAAAGTGAAAGGTTTTAATATTTTCCTTTAGGACTGGAAAAATTTATCAGATGCCAACCAGCCAGAGATTGAAACCTGCTAGACAGAGCAATCCCAAAAGATGGGAAAGGATTCAGTATTGAAGTCCAAGGGCAGCATGCTAGTGTGAATCCAAGGCCATCTCTCCTTCAGTTGCTAGGGAAGGAGTGGGGTTCTGGAAATCCTGCCAGGATGATATCCCTTGACTGTGCTTGGGACCCCTGCCTTCAGTATTTGCCTCTGAGCACTTAAGAATGACAGCAAACTAGTTTTTCTGTTGCAGTAGTCTGTCTCCAGCAGTGGGTAGTACTAGTTACTTAGGGGGAAAGTGCAAGAATGCTGTTGTAACTATGTATATTCTTGTTATCCATAAAATGGCTGATCCTTTTTGATTCTACTAAACTCTTGGCCTTTGAAATCTTGCGGCAGTGAGTTCTACCTGCTAATTTTTGTGTGCCAAGGTATTTCTTTTTATCCATATAGAGTTTGCCAACTTTTAGTTTAATTGATTATCTCCAGTTTTTTTAATAGAAGTCTGAAAAGAAGTTTCCAATCTACTTCTCTAACCCATTTGTTATTTTTAATATCTTTATCATATGTCTGAAAATTAGGCCCAATGCATTTAAAGCAGGGCTCCAAAGTGTATGCCTCCATTCTTGTAAAATGGGGATAATCAACTACTTTACAAAGTTTTATGATGCTTTATTCATTACTGATTATAAAGTATTCTAAGATCCTCACATGGAAAGCACTGTATGTGTGCAAAGATTTACTACTATTATTTATTTTATTATTATTATTGGCTATTCTTCTTTGCCATTTTCCTTTATTTCAGGTGGTAGAGCTGCTGTTCTTTATATATGAAAGATCATCAGTTCAGCATCCAGCAGGGAAAGATTAATCACAATCTTTTCACTAAGTACACAGTGGTTCATAAATGACTTGGCTGTGTCTACCCTTTATTTATTTCAGATAGGCCACCCACAAGCTCTCGCTTGATCATTATCAATTTGAGACTAACTTGGCTTTTCAGAAATAAATCTTACCCATATAAAATTATTTTAAATGTGTTGCTCTTCTGAAAATTAGTACTTGGCTTTGCAATGATTTGTCGTCCTGCCTTATTTCATAGATGTATGAATCACAAAATGGAACCATAATAGAAAACAACTTAGCTTGCATTCTGAAGACTGCCTTGGGTGTGTCAGACCTTAATGTAACAGACCTTTTTAAAGCTATAGATGCAGAAGAAAAAGGGAAAATCACATATGGTAAGTAATTAAATGATTTGAAAATCTCTACACAACTATGGATTATCAAAGATGTAGCTGCTAACTTTTTTCTTTTTCTTTTGTTTTATAGTAACTAAAAGTGTATCATTTGCAGTGTTTTTGCCAAGTTACTTAGGCCAAAAGTATGTATCTAAAACATCAAATGCCATAACGAGGTGTTTCCGTTTCAATATTTATTTAATTTCTTTACCTTGGGTTAGGTGATCCTGGATGAGCTCTTAGACAACACCTGCTCTGTGACTGATTTTCCTCTTGTCCTCTTTTATATGTGTTACATTGCTCCCTCTGTTTTTTAGTTTTGTATCTCTTTCCTGTTGTCTTTCAATTCTCATCCGTCTGAGATCTGGGGACAGGGGAACTTGCCCCCTCTGTTTGTAGACAGTTCAGGAACGGTAAAAAAGGTTGAGCTTTTGAATAAATTTGTTCTGAACTATTTGTTCAGTTCTAGTTATAACCAAGATGACCTGGAGAGAACTGTGCAGCAGAGAGGCATTGTAATCCCATGGACAGAGCACTGCACTGGGAGTCAGGGGACTCAAGTTGTATTCGAGGTTCTACTTGTGACTTGGGGCAAATTTCCTCTCCCTCCTTTTGTCTGTCCTGTCTATTTAGGCTGTAAGGTCTTTAGAGCAGGGAATGTCTCTTGCTATGTGTATGTACATTGCTCAGCACAATAAAGCCCTAATCTTTTTTGGAAACTTCAGAAGAATGTGAAGAAGAATAATTAATAAATAAATAATAATAATAATCAAACAGCCCAACCTACCTGTGACTGATTCAGTTAAGGTTTGGATCCTGTAAACCTAAGGGCAACAGCATCCCCCAAATAGAAGTGATTGTGATTTCCACATATTTTTGCGGGTCTGATGCATAAACATAATATCTTACTGTAATAATTTTTCAAATTGTTTATTTTAAGAAAGTTTCATTTTAAAATGTATTGCATTGCTACAGAAATGTGGACACCAGAGCAGACTTCATTACACGTCATCAGTCATTAACCTTTAAATAGGAGTAATCAAAGAAAACCCTAAGGTAGATGGCCACTCAACTAGACTGTTAAGATGTGACCCAGCTGCTGGGTCTCTGGGTGTTTTTAAGCCTGCAGAGCCTGAATGGAGCCCAGCCATTGCCCTTCACTTGGATCCGCAAGCATAATCTCAGGGGGCACATACCCACTATCTGGCATCCCCTCCTGAGAGCTGAACCCATTGTTCAGCTACCTGGGTTCCTGGCATTCCCTATTGCTTGAACACTCCCTCTCCCGGAACTCTACCAAAAGGTGTGAGCCTTCTGGGTTACCTCTTCCAGGGACCACGTGGTAGCTGTAAAGCATATAAGAGACAGACGTTTTGCACAAATTCTAACACTATTGTTCTTTTACTTACTCACAAGACCGTACAAATCACTTAGAACAAAACAAATTTCCTAAATGAAATGCCCCTCCTTTACACATACTTCCCTTGGAAGTCCATCCGTGTTAGGAAGGTAGGCAGGGTCCCTGGTCTCATCAAGCAACTATTGCTGCTTCTTCCACTTCAGCTGGAGAAAAGAAGAACAGAGACCAAAAAGAGCAGCTTCTACTCTTTTTATAACATTCCAGTTCCTCAGTCAAGTGACTTCCTGATCATCCCCAGCAGCTGACTTTGTTGCCAAGGCAACCTTTCACTCCTGATAAACCAGTTCTCCTGATTGGGAGCCAGTCTGTTTAGAGCTATTCCATTCAATAGGGAGAACACTTTAAGTCACTGACCCTCATTTGTTGTTCTTTTGCCATGAGCCTCTGGAATTTCAGTCCAAAATGAAGACAATCAGCCAATAGACAAGGCAGAGAGGAAGCACACTCAAAATGGAATTTGCAGTCTGACATAGACATATACAGAGTTCATAATCTCAAACAATTCATAAATTGTACAGATTCCCCCAAACTGTCACATTTGGATAGAAATATAACGATGTTAAAATGTAGGAAGAGGACAAAATCAACAGCTATCTGTAGAACAGATGTTACAATAAGGGATATAATGTAGGCATTGGCTTTTATTAACACTTTTGCTACTAAATAAACTGATGCCAAATCATTTATCAGACTAAGATGGTCCTGTTCTTTTATTCTCCATTTCAATTATAAGAATATCCCATGAAATAATGAAAAAGAAAACTCCCAAATCATATTTCATCATTCAACTGGAAAGCATCTAGTTAGCACTGAAAAGGTGGGGAATTAGTTGGATACATTTTATTGATAGGCACAGCATTGCTACGAAGGAGCGTGTGATGTGGTATACTAACTAGACCCATTGTGGACCCCTTCTGGAACCCCCATGGTCCTACTACACCCTGATCCAGGAAAGGAACAGCAAAGGTGGGCCTTTCAAGCCTGTCTAGAGAGGCTGCACGGAAGCAGCCAATAAGAACCCAGCAAGCTCAGACAGAGGCAGTTACAGCAAACTTAGGCCTTGGCTACACTTGCAAGTTATAGCGCAATAAAGGAGCCCGGGGCGCACTACCCATCCTCACTGGCAAGGCATGTAGAGTGCTCTGACTCTGCAGCTACAGCACTGCTGGTAAAAAGAAAAGGAGTACTTGTGGCACCTTAGAGACTAACCAATTTATTTGAGCATGAGCTTTCGTGAGCTACAGCTCACTTCATCGGATGCATACCGTGGAAACTGCCTGCAGTTGATAGATTTCCACTCCATACGCTAAATGCAGTGCCTTGCATAATGACAGGTTTCAGAGTAACAGCCGTGTTAGTCTGTATTCGCAAAAAGAAAAGGAGTACTTGTGGCACCTTAGAGACTAACCAATTTATTTGAGCATGAGCTTTCGTGAGCTACAGCTCACTTCATCGGATGCATAACGTTTGCTGTGCCCCTGCTGAAGAGCCGTGACACCAGTGTGGATGCCCTGGTCCTATAGTGAGTTCTGATCGGCCTCCAGAAGTGTCCCACAATGCCTGTGCTAGCCACTCAGGTCATCACTTTGAACTCTACTGCCCTGCCCTCAGGTGACCAACTGTCAGACCCACCCTTTAAATTCTCTGGGAATTTTGAAAAATCCCTTCCTGTTTGCTCAGCAAGGTGTGGAGCGCTCTCAGTGAATCTTTCCAGGTCACCATGCCTCCATGCACCAGGCGAGCCCCAGTATGGAGCAATGGCGAGTTGCTGGACCTCATCAGTGTTTGGCGGGGAGGAAGCTGTCCAGTCCCAGCTGCGCACCAGCTGTAGGAATTACAATACCTTCGGGCAGATATCAAGGGACATGATGGAAAGGGGCCATGACCGGGACACACTGCAGTGCAGGATTAAAGTGAAGGAGCTGCGGAATGCCTACCACAAAGCCCATGAGGCAAACCGCTGTTCCGGTGCTGCCCCCACGACCAGAAGTTTCTACAAAGAGCTGGACACGATACTTGGGGGCGACCCCACCTCCACTCTGGGGACCACCATGGACACTTCAGAGCCCAGTGCAACAAGTAAGGAGGAGGAGGAGGAGGAAGAGCAAAGTGGGAGCGAGGATGCTGAGGCGGAGGAAGGCACCCCAGAATCCCTAGATGCATGCAGCCAGGAGGAAGGTAGCCTGTCGCAGTGGCCGGTGCTCAGGGAAGGACAAACACCAGAGGAGGTTCCCAGTAAGCAGCTTTTATTTTGGGAAGGAAGTTATTCAGTGCGGGCTCTTGGGGCGAGGAGGGTTAGAGCTGCATGCATGCCTAGATGCGGAATAGGGCATTGATGTGCTCTCTCACGTCGTGGTAATCGGCCTCGGTGATCTCTTCAAAGGTCTCATCCAGAACTTGGACAATGCACTTGTGCAGGTTTCTTGGGAGAATCACTGTGGTCCTTGTCCCAGTCAGGCTAACTTGTCTGCGCCACTGTGCCGTGAGGGGCGGAGGGACCATTGCTGCACACAGGCAAGCTGCATATGGGCCAGGGTGGAAGCTGAATTGCAGTAGACCCTCCCTTGCTTCCCAAGTCACCCTCAGCAGCAAGATATCTTCCAGGACTAACTCATCCTGTGGAAAATGTGGGGACAGTGTTCAGTATAGGGGCCCCCTGCCGCTGTTGGCTCTCCCCAAGGCACAGAAACCCAGAGGACAGTACAGCCGTGAAACAATCAGTCATGCTTGACCGGTGCTTACTCACCATTTTGGGGCTCCAGTGGGTTATGCATGCTCGCTTTGAGACGGGCAAATTATGCTATTGTGTAGACTATGCTTGCCTTTAAGAACAGGGGAATCATTGCTCTGTCTGGTGTGAACAATGCTGCCTCTGTTTAGTGTTGCATTTTGCGTTTACAGATGCAACCTTGAGATCTCAGCCATCCATGTTATCACCGGCTGAAAGACTCCAAAGAATCAGAAAGAGGCCACATAGAAGCAAGGAAGACATGTTGCATGAAGTAATGCAGCATTCAAGTAATGAAAATCAAAAAGTGCAGGAGTGGTGGGAGAGTTCAAGGAGGGTCTGCCAGCAGAATGCGGATCGCCGGCAGCAAAGCACGGAGTGGCTGCTAAGCATCATGGAGCGCCAAGCAGTCTCGATACAGGCGCTTGTAGCAATGCAGATGGAGCACTACCGGCCCCCCCGCAGCCCCTGTCCTAAAACTCTTTCCCTTGTGCCCCCATGTCACCTCCAACCCACTTTCCTCAACATCCGGGTTCTTACTGCCACCAACTGCCTCCAACACCTGTAGCTTCACCACCCAGTCCTGAAAACTACAACCCTTACCCACTGCACTCAACCCCCATCACCATGCAATATAGCCATTCTGAAGTGCAGCACTCATTGCACAGCACTCCAGACAGGACATACTCAAATCTGTGATTGTACCGTTTCCCACCCCCTTGCCCTTTCTGTTTCCCAAGCAGTTGCGTGTCTTTTCAATAAATGGATTTTTTTGGCTTTGAAAACATTCTTTATTATTGCATAAAGTAAAAGATACCTTAGCCCAGGAAAAAACAGGTACTGCAAGTCAGT